GAGCACGTCGGGACAGCCATTCGCATAGCATGCGTAAAACGTGGCCCAGACACCTCAGTTGGCGCAGTGGTACCAGTCTGTCAAGTGGAAGTCCCGTGTTACCCAAGACGCGAGGTTTAACATCATCGTTGCGCACGTGGTTCATCCACCACACACGAGCTATTCTCCACAGACATAGATTGTCAAAGGCCGAAATCCGACTCAAGTCATTCACACGAATCGGCCAGGACTCACTCCCATACAGCAGCACAGCGCGAACACAGGCATTGCAGACCCTGCCCTTTGCCAATACTGAAACGTCACGGCTTCGCCACAAATACCTCAAGTTAGCGAACGCCGAACGGACTTTATCAATGCGGAGGGAAATCTCTTTTCCAATGCTGCCATCATCAGCGACATCTTCCCAGGTAAACAAAATTGTCCACTTGTTCAGGATGCTTACCTTGAAGATTGAGCACTTTTGCAGGTGGATACCAATCCAGGACCAGGACTTTGCATTTCGTAGGAGCAAAAGTCATTCCATATTTTGATGCTTCAAGCGCCAAACGGTTTAGAACGACTTGTGTGCTCTGTGCGTCATCACCAAGCAAGGCAATATCCTCAGCATAGTCTAGGTGGATCACGCGGTTGCCAGGAAGAAGTTCTACACCAGAATCCTGAAAGCCCTCGAGAGCGTTTTAAAAGACATCCTCGAGCGCAACATTGAAGAGAAACGAGGACATGGGGCAGCCCTGTCGTAAAACGCTAATGACGACAAAGGATGAAGCCTTCACTTTACCTGAGACATTGCAATCTAATTCTCGAAGAATGGCGATATACATTTCGGATACTCCATTCCTTTGTAAGCAACGCCATAAAGCTGGCCGATCGACGGACTCAAAAGCGGCTCGGATGTCCGGAAAAACAACGATAGTGGGCTGGCGGTAAAGATGACGCGTTTCAAGGAGTTGGCGGAGTTTAAACAAGTGGTCTATACACACTCAACCGGGGCGGAAACCAGCTTGTTCTTCACGGGAGCGCAGTTGTCGAATCGGGGTTAGTCTACGGAGTAGAATGGATGTTAACAGCTTGGAGGAAAGGGACATTAGGCTGATTCCTCGGGGGTTAGCGCATTGGGTACGGGCACCATTTTTGAAGATCGGGACCATAATTGGCTCGCTCCAAGCGGATGGAACTGTTTATTCACACCAGCTCTTGGAGAACAGAGCTGTTAGCTGGTGGATAATTACTTCGCCACCGAACTTGTACAGCTCTGGAGTAAGTCCGTCTGGGCCAGCAGACTTGAATCCCTTCAAGTGTTGGAGCTCAAGGCAGACCTCAGCCTCAGTGGGTGGTTCCAATGAGACTTTCCAAGGCACACATCTAGGTATGCACAATAGACGCGCCGACGGAGGACTCCAGTTGAATTGAGTGCGGACGTGTTCAGCCCAGCGGTCCATACGCCTGTGTAAGTTGCTTATCGGCGTTCCGGCAACCTCGCAAATGACCTCAGTGATACCAGGTCTCTTTTGACCAGTGGTCCGAATGAAGTGTAAGATCTTGCGGTAGTTTCCAGAAAGGGGTGCCGTTTCCATCTCTGCGAGGCGCTGGGACCACCAAGTTTCGCGATCCACATGCAGGCTTGGCTTAAGTTGTTGGCTGAGAACGTCACACAGTGCACTGCTAATTGAATCGGGCGGCATAGCTCTACGACGACCAACCAATTCCAGTGAGTGCGCGGATATCCACCTCTTCAGAGGGCGCCTTGTGATTTCACAGATTGAATGACCGGAACTTAGCATCGCTTCACGCAGGAAACTCCAATGATTTCCGATTTTTCGAGGTGGAGCAACGATGAATGCATGCGATAAGGAAGCTTGATAAGTTGATCGAGTAGAGAGATCAGCTAACTTGTTGGTGTCGAGCGTATGGAGCTTTCGTTTTGTGGAGTCGCCGAAGCGCATGCAAATGTCTGCGCAGACCAAAGCATGAGCTGAATCGAGGTACGTAGACCGGCAAACCGCCACACACTCAACCCACGTCGGGCAAGTCTGCATCGCTGAGCTTCCTTATTTATTATGTCCATACCAAAGTCATAATCCACTGGTTCTCCAAACACAAACAACGACACACGGTCAACCCTAATTGTTGGCCATACAACCGTGTTAGGGGGTGCACCGACTTATCAAGCCCTCGCATGGTTGTTCTGCAACGAGGCAACTAAAACGGGTATGCGACTCGTTCACGCGCACTACTTTCCCAGCACTGCACGATGTTCCCACGAGTGGATAACTGCCTATGTATAGCAACCTATAAAGTGCCCTGCGACCTGAAATCATACTAAAGTAAGAATAGCACTCATTTACAAACAGGTAGTTTAGTGCCAGCAGAATGTTTAACAGATCAACCAAATGAACAACATGTCCACAAATCTTTCTGACATATTGAACCATTTGTTTGCAATGCTGCTGTATCACTAAGGCCCGTGCTTCGGACACCGCGTGCTCCAAAATGCGAATCCGCTACGCGCTTTTACTAAGAACGCCTTCAGGGTCGCCCAGAAGCATTTATAAGTAAATAACTAAATAAATTTTTTGTTCTCGGACGATGAGAGACACGCTATATAGGCATGATCATCGGAGTACTGTTCCATCATTCCTGCTTATCACGAGCCTCGGTGGGATTGAGTGCTGGAGAGTCTGGCGCAAGGCATACAGGTCTCTTAGAGGAGTGAGTTCTCCCCAAAAGTCCGTGCTTCAGATAAGTGTGACATGGCGCGTTGTCGCAAAGCAAAAGTCAACTTTCCACAAACCCTGTTCCGTTGGTATCAAGCACTTGCCGCAGCCGGCGAGCGCACCTTTGCTTGTTGTAACTTCCTCTCAAAAATGAGCGTGCTATCAAGCCGATGTTTGTCATGGCACCGAGAAGATGAACACTCGGTGTCTGGCTATTCGCCACCGTACACTATGCTCGTGTGCCAAGTTGTGAGCGCTCACGAGTGCGAGCGCAAAATAAATCGAAGTTAGTCTCCTCGATACACACCGGTTGTCTTCCTTCCACCTCATAATTCATGAGCTGCAAAACCGACGACCTGCGTCGCCTTTGTTCGCCAATGTGCTCATAGACTCCGGAATAGTGTGCGTCTGCTTCATCGTTAGCAGTCTACCATTCAAGTAGGTTTAGATGGTGCTCCTACTTACTGAAATTTCGAACTCCACCTTCAACTGCAAATAAAGGTGTTCAAGGGTAACAGTAAGCTCCTCCACTAGCGAGTCGACGTGGCTTTCTTCCAGTGCTCTGCGACTGACGACCCCATGCTGCCCCATCGGTTCCGTGGATTCGTACCCCCGTATCCAGTTGCGGCAAGTTTTCATGTTCACCTTCAGTGTGCAAGCAACCTGCTTCCAAGCATCCCCTTCATCGTACGCTTTCAGTATTAGTTTCTTCACCGCTATCGAGTGACGCGTATATGATCTCCTTCCCACCATTGCGTTTACGTGCACCGCACGTTCACACTCACGTGGCAAACTTACTTGGCTGCGGCTTGTTATCCCACCCCCAATCGTTGCACAAACGTCTACCCTCGTCCTAATTGGTGGGGTTCGCTTCGTTGCACAGATGAATACAGGCACATATGGTGTATTGGCCGCCGACGCTGTAGCACCTAGGGGCTGAAGCGTCTCACTTGCACACCTATGTGGGTTTGAGGCCCTATTGGCTGAAGGCGCTTGACTGCGCGTACAGATGCACACCTGTGCAAGCGAGTGTCACACACCCGCCGCAAACAGATGAGTAACAACCCGATATGTTTATCCTTCAGAGCAATTCATTTGGTGTTCAGCCTAATTCTCTTTCCAAACGGGCCAACTTGCTCGAAAAGTGGTGTACTCCACTCCTTATGAGTGTGGAGAATACAAGCCTTTCGCTTCTGGCAGTTTTACTGGTCCGTCAAAATGCGAATACCGCGTTAACCAGCCCCGTGTTTAGACCGAGTTTTCACGTAGAACAGTCTTCGTAAACTGAACCTGGGTAATCAAGTGAATTGGCACGATATGAGTGTGGCTAGATCAATAAGCAAAAGGTAGCGGATAAGTGAGTTCTTTTAAATGGGAATTCCGGTTGAACATTTGCGAATGTCCGCCCTATGGGGTTTCGACTTGTGCCTTTTTGTGCGGACATGCGTTCCCCATAACGAGTATGCTGTTACATGTTTGTACATATAGTCTTGAGACGCCGAAGATTTTGCTCGTGATCTCCAAAAAGGTTCACAAATGCTAGAGCGAAAAGTTGCCTTTGCTGTTTAATGAGCAGCGGTAGTGTAATCGTTTGTGTCCGATAGAGGAGAAGCTTAATTGGTACACTAACCACTAGTGAATAATTTTCTAAGATTTAACCTAGGATGAGCTACATCTACTCATCATACAAATATCATATAGCATAGGAAACCAATACAGTGCAACAGTAGTCCTTTTAAGTCATTTGAAATCGCCACCATGTTTACATTGCTTCTCTGATGCTCGCAACGGTGCATTTATAATTGCAAATTAAATACACCTAGATGCTTTGAGAAAGAATACTTTAGAAATCCAGTGGGTCATCGTTTCCGGGTGCAAGCCAAACTGGTGTGCATGGTGACGTCGCGCAAGCAATGCACCGTAATTGTTCGGTGTTCGGATCAGGTCCGCAGGAATCATTTGATTCTAACAGTTACTTTGATGCTTTAAATGCTCTTCAAGTGTGCATTTGAAGATTTTACGGCTACAGGACTGTCATTTAACTTCGACTCCGGGTTTGTTTTTTTATTTATACACATTTCGCGAATGTCCCCAATGGATTGTCCGGTCGCAATTATTTAGTTCTATGCAAACCTTAGCCAACGATTTAAGAATTAGAAGAACGGATACAAATGATAGGTACGTAAAATATTGTGAAGCTTTACAACGACGGGAGTTTATCCCTTCCTTACAAACGTCTGGGTCCTAGTAATTTTGCGATTGGTCTTCTTTTACCCCATGCCGCAGGACGTCGAGCTGTCCAGATGGTGCCTTATACGGAACATAGATCAGGGACGACGCGTCACTCGGTACACCCTGCCGGCTCGTACTGTGCCCCCACACACTACCTTTCGTGTAAGTTTCTACACACACACACACACACACACACACACACACACACACACACACATACACATACACACACACACACACGAGTTCTTACTCAAACACGAATCAAAATGACCAGCTCCTGTAAGGAACATGTACTTCGACGACTGGCGCGCTTTCAGAGGCGTCAAGTGAACTCTGGCCTGCAAAGCAGTGAAAACCAACCAATGCTTGATCGGAAGGTTATTTTGAGGTACTCATCTTGTGATTGAATTACAACGCGCACTCTCAGTGTGGACCGTGCTTCGCATTAAGGTGAACCATGGTTAATTCCATCACTAGCACTGTAGCTGGAGTAGATGGAACTTGGGTGTCGCCAAGCTTTGCCCGTCTTGTCCCGGTGGCTAATGGGATAGGGGTTCTAACTAACATCCCAACAATCCTTGATCCGAGGCCTGCTATCACTACCTGATGAGACCATCCGAGGTCGAAATGCGTGGTGTGTCATGTATTCGGACGAGCAACACCAAATTTTCAACAAATGCATTTTTTGCTTGCCATGTTTCACCAGTTTGTGCGATCACCCTCGGAATGCATGCACTTCATAAAGTTCGTTATTTAAATATTGCGCTTCTTAGTCAGTCACTTTCACGTTGTATTCCTGCCACTTAAGGTTGTGGAGACGTCGCGCGTTACCTCCAGCCTAATTGTGTTTACAATTAGCGATTATAAATAAAACGATAGGGACGGAATAATGGTGGATCCTGTTATCTCCAGGGGAAGATCTACCGTTCGCTACACCGAAATCCATCAGTGTGCTGGTTAGCATTGATTTCGCCACAGGATGATTGTATGAATATGGATTGCAAATTGCGCTACAAGGTTTAAATATCGCAAGCCTTTAGGCCATTTAGACTCATGGGAATGACGTTTGTACAAACCAGTGACATGTATGTGACTAATCGGGAGCTCAAGTACTGTTCCACCAGTGTTTTGTCTGAGATACTGTAAAAGAAGTGAATTTCGGAAGGTCTCATTTGCTTACAAGGTTAACAAAATGTCGTCGGTTCTGAGTTGTAAGGGAAAGAGAGAATCAGTTATTAAGTTGCTCAGTGCTCAACGTCATCACCTCTCAGCTGTTTCCCAATTTTTCCCCAGACTTGTTGACTACTTCTGGCACTAAAAGGCCTCTTACTTATTGCGTACTTGGATGCGATTCAAGATTCTCACTGGAACGTTCCGGTTGTGATACGGACTTTCGGTAACAAGTTGCTCGTTGCTAGTTAGCACAAAGACATCCGCTGAACAGGCCACGACGCATCGGGTTCGACGTTGAATGCTTATTAATCTAACGTCATAAGCTCCAAATGACGAAAAAACTGTTACTGCATGGAAAACGCAAAAGATCATAATTCCGTGCTTTACTATCAAAAGTACGGAACAAACGGAGCACATTTTGTGGAGTCGCTGAAATGAGGCACCGATGGGTCCAACTGCATTTCCACACACTACTTGCTCGCTCCGGTATGAATAAAAATGTTGCGCATTAGCAAATTTATTTACTTCAAAGGCGAAGTTCAATGGCTGCACTGACATGGTTCATTTCTACTGACTAGGCGCCGTAATCTCGCGTTTATTGGTACCACAGCACCAAAATGCTGAAATGTACGAAGGTCTAATGATGACCTAGAAATGCCTTCGGGTACGCAAACAGCCTAGGTTTAGTATTGGATCGCGAATAGGCACTGGACCTGTATGTGGCCATGCAATTATACTTCACCTGCTTATCCCATGCTGAGGCTGATTGTACGTTCATAATGCCTCTTCACCTCAGTTGGGCTAAACCAACTTACACTTAAAATAAATACCCTTTTAATCTGGATAAAATGCATTCCACTTTATTTGCTTTGTTCTGCCTACCGGAATAATCTTCTATTAACTTGCACACCTCGCTTAAGCTAATTGTGGTTATCTTCATTAACCTCATCGTGTTTGCAGCATTCTTAAAGTACTTTCAGACATTTTGCACTTATCACTGATTTGTTGATAACCAACTTACTTCATATGCTAATTTAGCGAAGAGTTATGTCGGCATATCCGCATGCTTTTATCGATATAGTTTGTTTGATATTGTCAGTTCGAGCGGTTGGGTGTCGCTTGACATCCCCGGTGTGGCTGCGTCTGATATGAATGTTGACATGGTGATTACCTGTCTATTACCCACTACCTCGTCCATACGGGATCCAGGAGACAGTTGGTCGTGGCTGGAGGGGGCGGGGTGCACGGCCCTCGTGGCCTTGACAGGCTCGAAGAGTGGTTCAACCTAGTGTGGAACGTACTATGGTTCAGCCACCGCCTTGTGTGGGCTTGATTCCCAGCTCCAGCGCGATTGTGTTTGCCTCTGAAGGATTGCGAGGCGGCTCCGTTGATGAAACGTGACTCCCATCCACATGCCTCCCGGTCTTATTCCTTCTGGTTTACACTGGATATGGGGTGTGTGGATGGAGCTGTGGGTGATGCAGCGCAAGCCATTCCTGGTCCCTCTATTGGCGCAGGCGTCCTGTGTCTGCCCTATGGAGGCCACAATGACAGGTAAATCCGAAACCGGATGCGGCCAACCATGTCTCACATATCGACATCCCCGTTCCTGAACTTCAGTGTAGATCAGCTAATGAGTCAAAGTCCGGCTCGCCGAAATGTAATGGGAGAGCTATACTACTGACGACGGCAATTCTTGCAAACATGTTGAACATGCTGGAGGCACAACACAGGTGAATGGCTGTGTATGCTGAAGACCAGCCACAGGTTTTATGGGTTCTATAATATTTAAAGTTATGTTCCTTCACCCATTTTCGTAGATAACGCAGTATTTTGTAGGTTTCCTATTGCTTCTTATGGCGACAGAAACTCTGGGGTGCTGTGCCACTCAGTTCCATACAAGCCATGCCAGGAGTTATTAAATGCTAAAGGAATCACCCGGTGACGTTTATCTCTATTTGAAACAACCCGAACGACTGCAGTCACTTCGCCCGTTACAAGCAGATAGTGCAAACGGTCGGTCCTTTACTTTTAGTACCAATCCTGTTGACTGTGGACCGTTCTATCCTAATGTACTATCTACACTAGTACAAAATAATACTACCACTGCTACTAAATACTATCGTACTAAATACATGAATATCCGTCAGCTAATCGGAACTCCCCCTACCACAGCCGGGAGTGCTGGGACTATTTCAATATGGCTAAAGTATTAATGTGCTAATGTACGTCGTTATCCATTTTCAGCGATCAGTCTTGTTCATGGGTTACGGTTTGGCAGTATTTGATTGATTAGAGAACTGGTTTTTTCAACAACAACTGTAGAAACCACTTGGCACAAGCGGTTTGCATCTGTAACCTTGCAGGGTGCATAATGCAATTTTTTGACTGGACCAGCTTTAATTGATGTCGCATAGTAACTGCAAGATGCCACATATAATCACGTTTTTGCATTGCGTGTCTTACTTGCAATTTTCAGATTTGGGCTGCGGGAAAAATGGGCACCGGAAATGGAAGGTATGATTTCGAGGCTCCTTACACCAGTTGGGGGACCGGTGAATTGGTGCACACCAGCTTGTACAGCCCTGATGGGGTGGTAAGTCTGAGTGATTCACACGAAAAGAGAAATCATTTTTATGTTACTTGTCTTCCATACATAGCGCAGTGAATACTGTTAACCTGCATTGACATTGGTAAACGGAATGAGACCAATAAAACGGATCCGATGACAAATACTATTCCTTGTCACTTCTGTCATGCTATACAATTAGATCTCTGTCATACATCAATACAAGAGTAAGCAAACTCTAACTGGGTTGAGAGTCATGAAGCCGCATGTTCGGAAGTAACCATCTCAGCAACGGTGATTGGGAACTAATAGCATGCAAGTGTTCCGTCTGGACGAATGTAGCAGACAACTAAAAGAACGTCCAGCTTCAATACGGTGTCATTCTCTCAACACAACATATTGCACTACAAATTCCGTTTCTGCGTGTGCTCTTCATATCAGGGTAGTCATAGATGCCGGTAGCTGGCAATCATTGCGGCATAGCTCCAAATCCCGTCGCTAAATTTTCTTACCTGAAGCCTCCAACCGAAACAGACACCGGAAGTAAGCAATACTCAAAATTTGCATGTTTCTGCCATGATTACAATGATGGAATTGAACGAGGTTAATGTAAGCTAAATTACCACTCAATTTGAGTTCGCGAGTTGCGTTCCAAGCTCACCGAGTGCTTCAAAAATAGATAGTTAACTGCTTTAGCTAATGTGCGTTATTAGGGTTTAAATTGCTCGTTTAACTCAATTCGCAACCAAAGACCTTCCATCGCCTTCTATGACTCTACTTTACTTACACCACGCACCATCAGGTGTCTTTCTTCATCAAAGAAGGAAAGCTAACCACTGTCAACGGCTTCCTAGTTGAATTGCATCCGAGGCCGATGACTCCAAGTCCAGCATAAGGTTTGTTGCGTGCCTGGTTCTGTCAGCCGCGTCAAGAGAGAGAACTCACACCGTCTCTGCACACAAGCGTTCTTTTCACAAGTCTGTGATAATGTACAACTAGCTGTGATCTTAAAAATTCACCGACCCACTCGAGCGATCAGTGGATCGACCACACTGAGGCAAGCGATTCTCTTCGTCCCAGCTTTCCCTCACCATCACAAAGTCTTCTGCCCGGATATGGTATATAACCGCCTCCAAGATGCCTGAAGTGTGGCACTTCGGTGCTTGCTCTCTGATAATATACATAAGAGGGGCACTCAAACTTATAGATGTAGTAGAAATCTGTTGGTGGTCGTTTACCCCCCCCCCCAGTTGTGAGTTTAAAATACTGTAGCGTCCTAGTTTACACCGTTAGTATGCGAATTTCAGCAAGCGTGATCCATGTGATGAACCATTCATCGGTAACAGTCGTGTTCACTTGGCCTTTTCCGCCAAGTTAGGTCTCTTTAAGCGCCAATGCAGGTAACCTGCTCCTCCTGGTTTACTGCGAGCTAAAACAACCTACGTATTCCTTATAACGTTACCAGCATTCGGGCTGATTTATGAACTGGATGTGTATAGCCAGACTCATGTAACAGCCGCTACTTCGTTCCTTCTTTTAGTACATAAAGCCCCTCGCGTCATTGAGCTGTGGTTGTACTGATCTTTATGCGTTTCTCCAGTTGTTTCCAAGCCTGTCGTATCCCCTAATATCGCATGCATTATTCGCAAGCTTTGTGCTGCAATAAAGACTTCAGGGTAAACTCATCGAATCACAAAGGGCTCGTGAAAACCTACGAAGATGACGGCGCAGGGGAATTAGAGGATAGTGCGCAGTCATGTCCGGAGTGGTACTCAACGATCATGCTTTCCACCCTATTGAAACGCGGGAGATATAGCGTCACCGCACCATCATTTGTGATAAACTATTGCACTCCGATTCGTTCTTCCGTCGTAAATGTTTCCTTTAACACACAGTTCAGAAGGCAGATACGCTAGTGCTCTGAGTGTATCGAGGCCGAGGAGCGTTTACTGTGCTGGTGTATGTCCTCACACCTTAAACATATTGCATAGATACCAGGATCACGTATATTAGGTCATGAAACCCTAGGAGGTTTATGCGGCCCCTAATTAGTAATGGCAGGTTTCACAACATTGTACAGAATGGACCAAGGTGACGAACTCCTACCCTTAGTCCAAACCCGCACAAACTAATTGTTATTGCGCGAAGCGGTCCACAATGTCTGAAAGACAAGCTAAAAACCACTGAATACCGATTTCGAGGTTTTACAGTACGGCGATCATATATGTACTTTTATTGTGTAGTTAGGCTATTTTCCATGATAGCACAGTTGACTTTCTGTCTGTCTTTTACTTCATCCGGATACTACAGGAAACGGCTACCTATGTGCAAACAGCAGACTTCAGTCCATGAATATCCCATCCATATTCTGGAGGATTTACAATCCACGTACAGTCTGGGACTTTCGGATCCATGGAGCTTTAGTGCTTTCTTCGAATGCATCTGGTCGGGCACCTCGTCCGCAGTTTCCCCGATCAGCCTTTACTAAACAATCGTGATTTTCATTACACATGTTTTTGTCTTAGTGAACCACCCTGATGGTTTGCGAGCTGTAACTCAGCAGCTAAGTGATAATTTTCTAGGAAGATATCGAGTAGCAATTATTCCGTTTCTGAACAATTGCATTATAGTTATTATTCAGTTTTTTTAATCTGTTTTCCCGATTGAATATGATCACTACTTCTTAATTCACTGGGGACATGCACATGTTTGCGTTTAATAAATTCTTCACTGCTTTTATTTTAATGGCTTGTTTCTGCACTTTCCCGATGTTAATGTGAACAGCGCTATGGTATCATGAATATTCATTCTACTATGGAGCGTAACGTCTCATAAGTACTATCTCCATCCATGAAGTAAATCTGAATCATACTTAGTGCCTCACATAAGGATGCAGCATGTGAGTCATCAGATATAACCAAGGAGGCTCCAGATTTGCCGTATGCTGTTTGCATGCGCGAACACACGGATGAATTGTAGTGATCTGTTCTATTTATATTAGAAAAGCTACTTAAAATAAAGACCAGCGAGGCGGTGCTTACGATGACTACTGGCCCATGTGGATTTGTTATGCGGCTATTGGCTTGAAATTTTGCTCTCAAAAGTTGGGAAGGCATCCATCGGGGAGGGTTCGTCATATGACTGATTCAGTCTACCGATTGAGTCTTCGAATTTAGGAGCCATGTTGTCTTCATTAGCAAAACGCGTATAATCTCCGCATAGCATATGGTTGCGGCGTCACTGGACCTCATGTTCACATATTTTGTTAGCGCTACAGTATACACGAAATTGCGATGCGGCGTGCTTTGTGGGCACCATATCACCAAGGACGGCAAATCTTAGTCTTTGCATTGTTGATTGAAATACTCACTTACGCGATGAGTTGCTTTCGGGGTGTTCTCACCTCAGCATAGAACCTATTTCATGTGCACCACACAGGGGACCTATTAAGTCACATGCGATCCAAAGCCTTGGTTTGTGGAATAGCAATTTGAACATAGGATGCTGTGCAATCCGGTAGATGCTAGTTGCCGGTATATACCAGTTGCTTTCAACTTCAGAGGCGGAATACTAAATTTATTTTATGATGCAGATTACCATCAAATGTGGAAATCCGGGCTACGAAGGAAGTCATCTGCTGCTACTATTGCATAAGCTAGGGTATGAAAACTGAGAACGGTTGAAGAGTTCCCATTCGAGCTGATTGATGGCTGATTAGCACAGTCAGTGCCATTACTTTGGCTGTATATGAAGATTTCGTTTCGTTTATCTGGAATGGTTGGACTTCTGGCAAGTTGCTTGAGGAGATAATTAATGCCATCACTGACTACTTTGTCAGATGGTAAGATTGAAAGTAAGTATTCACAAGTGTATTCTGGAAATTTGTTCTTCAGCACCCTGGAAAGTGCCGAATGCTGGGTATTTCCTTCCGGGTTCAGTCTCAATACACAATCGGCCAACGTGGAAGGGTTTTCGCAGTACGGTAAATCCTATCGGTTGACTGACATTTTGCTCTGGACGTTACGTGACTGAGGCGGGATTAGCCACCCTTGGTAGTGCTAGTGCGTGGGGTTCAAGTCACAGCGCCGGATCAAACACTTGGAAGCGTCTCATTTTAACCTCAGGTCATTTAAACCTACCATCTGCTCAGCTGGTATGCAAACCCAGGATATGTGCGCTCACTTAGGATGTGGCAGGATAAAAACTCTTCCACAATTCATCTGCATCAACGAGACACAATTTATTCGTGCGATTCGTTACTAAAGTACCAGGCTGTTTAATGCAATGGTCTAGAATGAATCACGAGGCACGTCAAACAAAATGTCGATTGAAAATACTGGCACTTCAGAACAAGCTTAGATAAACAGAAAAAGCATCTGACAAATGAGTCGAAGATTTGACTCATCAAATACGAACAACATCGCTCCAAACAACTGAATGAAATCACGACATGGATATAATTATCTCCACTAATCTTTGATCGAGAGATAAGGTGTACGCGGTCACACATTAGGCAGATCCTGTGCAACGTTCACTGGTCGAACGGTGAGTGAGGCGTAGCCAATGATCCAAAAAACCAGAACCACTTTGGATCATAATGCCTGTGGTAATGCCAAAAAGTACACCCTCGAGCTGGCCTCAGTCTTTCTGGATGCTGCTACATTAGCCTTGACAACATGATGCAATTCACATGTGTGGAGGAAGAATGAGGCTTTGAAAACAACTGGTCAAAACAAGCAGCCAGAGGGCAAGTGAACACATAGTGCATGCGCAACGCTGTTCTCAAATTCACTATGACTATTGACGGTCCAGTAATTCGGTGCCGAAGATGTTAGATATGAACATGAAGCCCACATGCAGAACAGAAGGCTGTAGTCAAGATGGAAGCTCTCGTACTTATCACTCCTGCTACTTGATGTCAGTGTGATGACGCCCTAGAGATTACGACACCAAACCAGGTGCAGATACATCTTTTCTAGTCACGCCACTTGAAATGAGGTCAAGTGTTGCTTTAGGTATGGTGGGGATGGACACGGAAACAAGTGGTGAACCACTTGATAAAAGTTACAAGGGTATTGGTATCTGAAAGCGTAACATAGCCTGGAATGGGAGTAAGAAAATGTGGTTAAAACATCCGGGTTCGTTGAAGATACGAATCAATGTATGAGCGATCTTCGAATCCTGGAGCAGGGGCCATCGAATGAAGAGAAAATTACTGTCCCAAGTGAGATCCGACGGTACGGTTCGGAACAATTTTCAACTGTCCGGCCTTACTCACCACCACTGTAACCTTAAACTTCTTACGATATGCAATACCAGAGACCAACTTATCCACAGAGGATTTGCATGCGACACCTACTTGGCTCGTGGATTATACGCTCAAACGCAATCGCACTAATGAGTATGGCATAAACGCTGTTCAAACATGGACTGCATTGCACTCAACACCTCTCTCATCCACAGCCGGCATGGATAGGTGGATCCGAAGCCGTTCGAATTCAAGCTCAAATGGCACCGGAGCAGTAGTAAACGCCCGAGGCTGTTGTTGCTTTGTTCCACAGACAGCCAATGACTACAACTTCCATGAGGGAATCTCTGACTATGCAAATTGTTCTAAGCTTCATGGAAACATCCATCTAGTCCAGGGGTCACCAAACCACGACCCACGGGCCGGATCCGGCCAGCCAACAGTACACGAATTTGAGCGCACAAATAATCCACACTTCCTTCCTAATTTTTATTTACGGACTTCGCACTAATGTACTTTCGCTCACGTCATTGCATGACCTGACTTTGCTTGAACACGCCCATGCAACATCACCACGGCATTCCAGCCACGTTCCCTTCCTACATGTCGCACAGTATCTTAGACATTTTGAGCGATAATCCGCGTATTACTTGCTCACTGGGGCCACTCACACCGCTATACCGCACCTCGCATGGTAAGCTCGGTAGCGTTTGACAAATATTTATCCTGAAGGCCTGCTTAAACACCTTCACCTGCTTGCATACTAGCCTGTGTGTGACCCACACGGTCGTCTCGTTCACACAGGTACAGCGCTGTGCGCCGTTGTTTTTCAGGCAAGGTTCTTGCCTTTGATTCAAGCGACATATAGGCAAACCTGGATGGCGGCATACGTTTCCGGATTTGCCTGTCACTGTGGCCACCAAAGGGACAGCCACAAGACGCCTGCGCCTACAGAGGGACCATGGGTGGCTTGCGCTGCACCACCCACAGTTCCATCCACACACATCATATCCAGTGCAACCCCGAAGGAATAAGACCGGGAGGCATGAGGATTGGAGCTATATTGCATTAACAGAGCCGGTCCGCACTCCGTCAACATACAGAGCCAAAGCATTCATACCAAATTTGGAAAGCATGCGTATAACTAATACACAGGGACCGTAGTCCGCTCCACACTGAGGGCATAGAACCACTCTTCGAGCGTAGGACGAACAAAAGAAAGGTGCACCCCATTCACCCAGCAACAGTTCACAGTCTCATGGAACCAGTAATCGAAGTGGAGGGTAATAGACAGGTAGGTCCCTTGTCAACATGCACATCAAGCGCAACCACACTGGGGATCTCAAACAACCAACAGAATCTGAAGGGAAATAAACAGGAAAGATTGACAAGGAATATGCGGTAGGATAGCAGAACCGAGCAAATCAAAGAAAGTGGGATACTTGTTATCCAGAGTAGGAAGATTTTGTTTAAGTGCAAGTCGGTGTAGCCCAACGGTGGTGAAGAAGCATGATATATGCAGCAGCAACCTCAGCATGAGGCACCATATGAATAGGAAAAAATATGCAGAATTTAAATACGCAAACTGGACAGTAATTGTGCGGCAGAATGACAGAAATGAGCAATTCAATATGTATGAATTCTGATTTATTGTTAGGGCGAACTCGGGCAAGTGTAAGTGTAAACCAGGGTCAAAATAGGGCCATAGATGCTACAAAATAACTTCAAAACAGAATCTGCGGCAAAATAGGTATATGGACAGTCTCGTCTAATTTGGTGAACAATGCTATGGAGCGTACATAGTAATGTAGATCACGAATGAATACAAAGAGGATGACGTAGTTCACCGTCACGGCAGGTCACCGCACTAGAATACAATTGAAGGGGTAGCAAAGGTGACATAGTCACGAAGCGTACAGAACTGTGGTGAGCAAATGGTGGAGCATCCGTGAAATACAACTGTGCTAATTGATCCCAATATGAAGGGTATTCAACTTGATGCCTACGCTCGAAACGAGTGCAGCACGGTATGGTACTAATGCAGTACTTAGTCCTATTAGGGTGAAACTGTACCCAAGCAAGTTGCGTTAGCGATAGAATCCTGATGACGCAAGATTGCACACTGCCTATAACCGCGCTGACGATGCACCCGCGTATGGTGGCGAAACGTATGCAGCTAGATCGATAAGCTCGGGGAACAAACGATCAACTGAATAAAGTTGGCAACGTTGTTTTGGTTAGCAATGTGTGCTTTGTAGGTCTATGCAAAGAACACCACTGATTTTGAAATACTCCTCTATGTTCAATTCATCGGCTGAACCACGGAAAATTTAGCTATAGGCATTCTAACAACTAACCTGACTAGCAGAATAGGAAACATGAACATCATCATATTAATCGCCAGTCAGTTACTTGCCAGGACTGTACAACTTCTCCAGAAGTTCCGGAGTAATTTATCTCGAGATGCATGGTCCAACTTG